TGGTATTAACTGTGTGTGTGTTGGTATTACTGCACAAGTTAACCAGATGCTGGAACAGAAAGACATAGTCAGTAACCATCTAGCATAACTCCCTTATTTTTCAGATGAGCCTGGGGCCATGAGAGGTGAGATGGGTAGCAGAGGAGATTAGAATACAGGTTACCTGCCTCCCAAGTGAGTACCCTTAACTACTGCATCAGGTCTTCTCTCACTGAAGGGTGGCCTAATAGAATTTTTTTTATTTGATTTTTTTTTTAATTCCCTGGCTTGCTTTCTCCTTTTATAATGAAGGACTGGAAAATAGAAAAGTCACTTTTTTTGTGTGTCCAGAACTAGAAATTTATTAGAATGCCAACCCATTCAAGATTTTAATGGTTGTTTTCAGGTTCTCAGTGTTGGGATAAAATACTCCTGATAAGTAAGACAGTTGTCCCTCAGTATCTGAGAGGGACTGGGTACAGAGCTCCCAATATTAAAAAGTGCATGGATATTCAAAGTTCCATATGTGTGTTTGCATATAACCTATGCAGTCTTCCTATGTTGTTCACATCATCTCTAGATCACTCACAATGTGTAATAGGATGTAAATGGTTGCAATGGAATATTGCTTAGGGAGTAATGACAAGGGAAAAGCCCTTTAGCTCTGTAACAGGTAAAACCATTGGAGCTGTAATTGCAACTTCATGTTACTAGATGTTGGCTGGATACACAGATAAGGAGAGGTGACTAGTTTATGTACTCATCATCTGGTTCTCATTTACATCTTGATTATTCTAAAGTACCTTGCTTGTTGTTTAAACCAGAAAATAAGGTTTGAAGAGGAGGGGAGGAGGTGGTAGTGGCAGTCATTCTGTGAGTTGACACGTTGCATCATATAGTCCTTTGTTGTAAAGGACTAGACTCTACACCAGTGGTTCGCAGCCTGTGGGCCGAGTCCATGAAAGACCCTTTCATGGAGATCACATAGCAGATATTTACATATGATTCATAACAGTAGCAAAATTACATTTATGAAGTAGCAATGAAAATAATTTTATGGTTGGGGTCACCACACATGAGGAATTATATTAAAGGGTTGCAGCATTAGGAGGGTTGAGAACCACTGCTCTACACTGTAGACTGTTGAGGGATGTCCTTGGCTTCTCTTCACTAGAGTCTGATTCCCGCTTTGACAATACATAATGTCTGTAGACATTTCCAAATGTTCCTAGAGGGTGGGGCACAAAAATCACCTTTGGTTGAGAACAACTTGCTCTTAGGAATTACCGTAGGCAACTTGATGTCAAAGTGCTTATGGTCAAGCCTGGCAACCCGAACTCAATTGCTGAACCCCACTTAGTGTAAAGAGAGAACAGACTCCCAAAAGTTATCCTGTGGCATATGCTTATTGCCCCTGCCCCACTAAATAAAACAAATGAATAAAAGCAATAAAAACAAAAAGCAAAGGACAGCCTTTTGGCTGAGTTAGCTACAGCAATCTGTGTCTGAACAGGCATCTTTGTAGATGTGGGTGTCTTGCCTTCTAAGCAAGTGCCCCTGCTTTCCTTTCTTGTATCACCTACTGGTCATTCATGAAGGTCTTACTGACTAGCAGGGTTAGAGTAGCTGGACCTGTGGTGTGTAGGTTGCTGAGGAGGGATTGGGACAGGGCTTTTGTTTGACACTGGCTTTGAATGCTTCTTCTACAGGCTTGCTCAGTCTGTTTAGGTGCCAAGGCTACCTGTCCCCTTAAAGTTTAAAAAATCTCTGTAGGAGACTGGATCTGATATGCTTAGCATATCACTAGGTGAATAAAATTGACACACATACCATACCTCCTTCCCCGATTCTTTACCCATTGTTAACTTTGAAAAAAGTCATTGTACAGCAGATGCTGTCATACTTGACCTCTTGGTGGCTTCTGGCCAGAAATAGAGTGCCACTTACAAAAATAGGTCACTTAAAACAAGCCTGCATAGGAATCGAGGAGGGACTGGAGTCCTAGAGAAGGAAGGTGAGTATATCTGATTTTGAAAGAAGTTTTACCAAGGTGACCCTGCCAGAAGGAAGTCCTTTTCTTGTGTTTATGGCTCAAGAGTCTTATCTCTTGCTTCAAAAATTGTCAGAACTATTCCTTCTGCCTTATCCAATTTAAAAGATGAAAACTTAAAATTACTTGAGCCAAGTGATGAGAAAAATTGTGGTGCCAAGACCAATTTACTTGTACAAAATGGATTTATGGGCAAGTCATTAAGTACCAGGGAGTACAAGGAACCTAATGAAGAGTGATGCAAAGGGTCTGGCTTCCTGGGTGATGAGTACAACAGTTTGAGGCAGCCATACTTGTTCTAAATAACTTGAAAAGCGCCCTTGTTGAGCCATCTAATAGAATGTACTCTAGGCAACAAATGAGGGGCTTGCTTTTAGCTCATCCTATTCATGTGGCTTGAAGTCTTTAAAGAAAAAGACCTGTCTTTTTTAGGAAATGTAGATAATGTCACATGTGGGAGAAAACAAGAAGCAAAGAACTATAGGAGTCTAAATTAATGTTGTATGCTCTGCCACCTGAAAAAGGAAGCAGGACCCGAGCAGATTCCTGCTTAGGGGTTTCCTGTGCCCTTTCCTGACCATGGTGTCCTCCAACTGGCCAGCTCATGAGAGTCTAGGATCACAAAGACAGACACATCTGGGTCTGGTCCAGCCGATTCCAGCTTGGGAAGCTAACTCAGAGCTCATGCTTCTGTTCCCCAAGAATGAATGTGGCTGTTGTGCACTCTGGCAGCTCTCTCCTTTCTGCATGTGTAGATTCTCCTTTCAAACCCAGAATACCCCATGCCTTTGCTAAGCTTCTCTCCTTGCTGCTGGTGGACTTTTTGTTGTGTTTCTGGCTCACATGTTGAGAAAGCTTCCTCTGACATGCTGTGTCTGGGCTCACTCTTATTTTGGTGGACCTCTATACGTAATTCTACCCTAGTGCATGCAGCCTTTATGAAATTTGCCACTTCTGTGTGAGGGAGTTTATCCCTCTGGATAGTAAACTCCAAGGTCATACATATGTTACCTGTTACAGCCCTTGCCTGCATCTGAGGTTTTAAAGCAGTTAGCACTGTTAAGCCTAGGGTTCTATTTTCTTCACTAGCGTTTCATCCTAAAATATAAATGCTGTTAGCAGTGGTGAAATTTATAATCCCTGCATTTACCAAGAACTAGGTTTTCAAAGTGTGTGTGTGTGTGTGTGTGTGTGTGTGTGTGTGTGTGTGTGTGTGTGTGTGTGTGTGTGATTGTGTATACACATTTCCATGTGGTGGCCGTGGTCGACTTTGATGAGTTCCACAAAGCTCTCCACCAGGGTCTCTCAGTGAACCTGGAACTCACTGTTTAGCCTAGACTGGCTGGCTAGCACACCCCTGGGATCCCCCTATTGCCGCAGTTACCATGTATCTCAATGCACCTAGCTTTCCCCTTGTTGCTCAGAGCACTTGGACCATAGTTGTGACTGAACTTCTGTGACCTTGAGCAGGGTGTTTAGTGATCTCTAAAATGAGAATCAAAGAGTACCTATCAGGCTGGGGAGGTGAATGTTAGAAAAAGGGTTTGCTGAACAAGCGTAAGGACTTCAAATCCCTTGCACCCATGTGGAGACCAGAGCAGTCAGATGAGGGTCTGGAGTGACTGCCTGGCCAGCCAAATCTGTGAGCTCTAGGTTCTGAGAGAAACCCTGTCTCAAAAAATAAGGTGGATAGGGACTGAGGAAGATACCCGTCATCAGCCTCTGGCTTCCACATGTGTGTGCACTAAGGAGGCACCTTTTCACACCCACAGCACATACTAATAACTGCCTCAATGGCTAGTGAACTTTAACTGAATCAGTACTTGGGAAGTGCTGGTGTGTATGCATTCACTTTTTAGGTTTTAATTATGACTTCAGAGAAATGTTTAGATGTTGTTGATGAGTGGGCCTACTTTGTATAATGTGGGCTTTAAGTTGGATTTAACTTGGATATTCTACCATATTTTTGTTTCACCACAATTTGGCAGAAGCTATTTAATCTTTCTATTCTGTTTTCATCAGTAAAATGGGAATATTATGCCTTCTAGGGTTCTCACAGATTTCGTGTTGTATTTATAGATGTTAATAGAGCTGTCAGCATAGAACAAATATTTATTAACTGGGCTGAGGTGGTGGCAGCTATAAGGGTGTCCTGTGTGTGACACAGCAAGACAGGTGATTAGAAATAACTGCTCTGTAATCAGCTCCAAGGCTGCACCATGGGCTGTCTGAACACAGGTCAGCTGTCAGTGCTGCAGTCATACAAAGTCCTTTGATGGTCCAGCTCCTGTGGATATGTTAAGGGCCCAAGAGTTTTGTTTGGCTTTATTTTATTTTATTTTATTTTATTTTATTTTATTTTTTGGTGAATAATTAACTTTAGTCTGTACATTTATTGCTCTTTCCTATTTCTGACCAGGGTAGTTAACAATGAGTCTGCGGAAACAAACTCCTAGTGACTTCTTAAAGCAGATCATTGGACGGCCAGTTGTGGTGAAACTCAACTCTGGAGTGGATTATCGAGGTAGTGTTTAATCCTAACTACTGTAACTGCAATGAAGAAACTGTGACTTCTTACTTTACTAACCTCTTAAATGTGCCCAATAGGCCAAATGTTGCTCACTGACAGTTTTCCTGTCCTCTACCTCTGAGGTGGTTCCTTTTATATTGAAAGGTCTGTCATCAATGTGTGTGTTAAATCCATCCCCCGGTTGGACCAAAGAATGCCTGGGCTCAGCAGCGTTGTGTTTGCAGAAGAGTTCAAGGTTGGCAAGCTGTTATTTAGACAGAATATTTGACAGCATGACCATCCTGGTCATATAACATATATCCAAAGATGTGTTTCTGTTCTTAGAGAATACTTTGTAAGACCCTCTGGGTACTAGCTGTGGTGGTGTGTGCTTGGGATCCCAGAACTGGGGAAGAGACAGGAGGATCTGGAGTTTGAGGATAGCTTCAGCTGCATCTGATTTTGAGGCAAGCCTGGGCTACATAAGACCCTGTCTTGAAACAAAAAGAAACAAAAACCGCAAAAAGATAATGAAGACTACTGAAAGCCAGGCACTGAAGGCGAATGTGGTGTTCAGTGGCAAAGCTTGGATCTCAGTCATAGCAGCTTAAAAGTTCTGTGGAACAATGCCAGATTCTGTTTTACAAATTATGAGCTTTCTACTCTTTTCGAATTAAGATATGCCAGACTACTTAAACTATTTGACAGAGAGTGGTAACTAATTCATTAGCAAAGTTTTGTAGCTGTTTCTTTGTCTCTTTCCTAAATTTCCTTAAGGTTTTTCCCTTGTCCGAATATTTACATGTAACTGAGCATATGTTAATCACTTCAATACATACATTGTCACTTTGTTTTCCATAAACTGAGATTTTATGGTTATCCTCACTGGGGAAGTGAGAAGCCAGGATGTACACAAGCCTGACTGGAAAGCTTTGTTAAGAAATCACTGGAGGGGCTGGAGAGCTGCTTCAGCAGCTAAAAGTACTGACTGCTCTTGCAGAGGGCACAGGTTCAGTTCCCAGCACCCATGGAGGATCTCACAACCCTCTAACTCCAGTTTCAAGGGATCCAATACCTCTTTGGCCATCAGACAACGCACACACAGACAACCACTCACATGTATAAAACTAAAATAAACATTTAGTAACTCCACTGGATCCCAGTGCTGGGGAGCTCCAAGTGCCCACATTGGGCAGTTCCCAGCCTCCTGTAATTCCACCTCCAGGAGAACCAACACCTCTGGCCTCCAAGGATACCTGTACTCATATGTACCTGCACATACACACACACACACATATCACTAAAAGTAAGATGAGATCTTTAAAAACAAAGGGGAAAATCACTTTGTTCTTGGTTTCTTGACAGTAATAGACAATATTGCCAATGTTTTTGATTGTATGCTTGCTTGCTTTTTGAATCAGTATCTTGTCATGCTATCCAGCCATCTTCAGGCAAGTTCTCTTTCTGCCTTGGTTTCCTCCCAATCCTGTGGTGATGTTTTGTTTATGATCTAACAAATAAAATAAAGCTTGCCTGGAGATCACAGTGCAAAGCTAGCCACACTAGTCAACCATAGAGACTAGGTGGGGGTGGTGCACGCCTTTAATCCCAGCACTAGAGAGGAATATAAGTCCAGTGGAGACAGGAGTGCAGTGTATTCAGTTTGCAGTCACACCAAGTACAGGATGGCCCCAGCCTTGCTAGAGGTGAGAACTTTTCTAATCTTCAGCTTGAACCCCAATATCTGTCTCTGGATTTTTATTATTCGTGCTACACATGCTGAGGGTTAGAATTATGGTTGTGTGTGCCACCTTGCCCAGTTTTCAGCCATAAACTTTGGACACATTTTGTGTGGTACTTTCTCAGCATCCACTTCTTGAAGAGGATGTTAGCTGTCTTAGCCTTTTCTTTAGGGAAAGTGTTTCTGTTTATAAAAGTAATAATACATGTTTTAATTTGTTGTTTATACCTTCTGGGCAAGTAATGGGAAGCAGTGTTTCACTGTATTCCCCTGTGTGGAGACAATCCCCTGACCACAGAACAGGACAGCCACCTATGCAGCCTTTTTTCTCTTACTACAATAACCAATAATGTTCTAACAAGAAAAGAACGCGCCTGGATGTGTGTGCACACCTTTAATTTAGTCCCAGCACTTGGAGCAGAGGGGGTGGGTCCCTGTGAGTTGGTCTCCATAGTGGAAGCCTGAGAACAGAAGGAAAAGGAAGGGAAGAGGAAAAGACCCAGTGTTCTGTGACAGTTCTTTAGCTTGTTATTTCTCTTCTTGATCTTGGAGAAGAGGAAGAGCTACAACTTTAACACCCTGAGCAGGTTTTTGTTTTGTGTTAGTTTTTGCAGCTTGGACAATACACACGCTAGGCAAATGCCCTACAGCTGAGCAAAACCTCCTTGTTTATCTTTTAACTTTTATGAGATCAGATATTTTTACTAACAGTGAGTAAAAGTGGCATTATGTTTTGAATTACCGTTTTGGCTAATTCCATATCATATCCTAGAATTTCTTCCTAGTCTGTGAATGTGCTTTAAGTGTAACATAGTAGGGCAGAAGCAAACAATAAAACCGTGTCTCGAGCTTCCTTTGGCTAAGAAGTAATTGTTGTTGATAGTTGACAACAGTCTAGTCTGATTGTTTGAATTCTGCTCTGCTAATGTCTTGTGCTCTGATTACATACACACAGTTTTGAAAAGAAACCTCTGTTTAGAGGATAATGGGGGCAGAAGCGGAGAGTGAGGAGCATATTAATGAAGTTAAGATTTTAAATGGGACTATTGACTTACTTAATTGAATTGAATCTGTAGTGTGTTTTTTATTCATACAAGTATCACTTTAGATTACAGGCTGAGAATTAGAAGCTTCCTGGCTTCGTCTTTTGAAAAAACGTCATCTGGTCAGATTTTGGAAATATATTCCATCTCCACACAATTAATGAGTCACCCGAGCTGTTTTCCTTGAAAGCTCTCTGGAATGTTTGTAGCCGTTTTTCTCTATTAGTTTTGATTTTAAAAATAGTCTAACTCTGACAGAACAGAATGCAATGTGTCGCAATGCAATATGTTGCTCTCTGTTCTCAAGCTGCTCTTCGATGGAGTCGTAGCTTTGAGCTGGGCTTTCAGGGGCACCTGCTGTCTATTATCTTAACAGATTGTGGAGACTTCCTCTTAACCCAGGGCACATTCATCTGCTGCAGGAGATATTGTGCAAGAGTGAGATAAATCTGCCAGATCCGTATTTCACTTAGTGGCTAAAGTAACAAATGTCACTGGGTGGAGGCTCATTTATCCATGTGTAGTTGCTATGTCTGCCCCTAGCTTCCAAGAAGGACATTTTGGTTGGAATAATCTAATGCTTATACTTTTGTGAAGGCTTCCAAAGTTGCTGTGGTGATCACACATACCAGGAGGGGAGTGACAGTTGGCTGCCTGTCTTGGAGTTGTGGCTGCAGTGACTCCTCTCATGCTATGCCCATGCAGCCTTCATTCAGATCGGCACAGAGTAAAGACTCCTTTTGTGTTTACGTCTATTGAGTTTTGTTTACAGTGTGAATTTTTATCCTATGTGTTTGAAGGCTAATGAATAAAGTGATTGTCAGTTCTAAGATATACCCTGTAATTTTCAATTCTTTCTTTGTTTTCTCCAGGGGTCCTGGCCTGCCTGGATGGCTACATGAACATAGCACTGGAACAGACGGAAGAGTATGTAAATGGACAGCTGAAGAATAAGTACGGCGATGCATTCATCCGAGGAAACAATGGTAACAGCCTCCTGTAATAGAGCACTGGGGAGTTTCTAGATGGTGTTAAAGTTCCCTTGTATTCCTGTTTGTTTGTTTGTTGTACTTGTATTTTAGATCTTTGTATAAACCAGTTCTATTTGTGTGTGGAAAGAGAATTTGCTATGGATTGGAAGTAGAAATTCTCTTTCTCACTTTACTGATGAAGAGCTGGGAAATATTGCTTTACTGACCAGGACCCTGTTATCTTTTTGTTTGGTTTTGTTTTTCAAGACAGGGTTTCCCTAGAACTCACTTTGGCCTCAAACTCACAGAGATCCACCTGCCTCTGCCTCTGCCTCCCGAGTATGGGAATTAAAGGCCAGTGCCATCACCGCCTGACAACCCTGTTATCTTAAATATCATTTATTCTATTCTCCAAGTGCCATCTGTAGAATATAAGGTGTTCATATGCTACCTCCACACCACTCAGTACTTAGCCTGCCCTTTTTCTAGTTACGGTTCAGGTACCATTTGTGGGGCTTTGTGCTTTCAGTCCAGCAGAAGTGACAGTAGAAAGCAGGGCTCTGATGGTCATGCCTGTCAGCAGCTGCGTGCTGTCATGCTTACTGTGGCTATTTTACGTCACCTCTTTTAAAGTACAAATTGTCAATGAAGTCATATTTGAATACACATCAAATAGCCTAATTTTAGGTCCCATCCCTAGGTGGAGTTTTTTGTTTTGTTTTGTTTGCTTTTTATTGATTTCTTTACTTCTGAGTATGAGAATCTTTTAAAATTTAGACTCTTGAAATAAGGTTGACATACTCTGGGAACAATACAGATTTCATCATTCCATATAGCACTCATGGGATGTTAACATGCAAGAAATACAAAAGGACATTAGAACTTATTTACCGGGAGTATACCTAAAATACTTAAGGAAAATAAAATATATAAAATGTACAGTGGTTTGAGCATAAGCAATATGTGTCTGCAACTCAAAAAAAAAAAAAAAAGATCCTGACTTTTATATACATCTCTTGCTTGCATTTCAGTAGAATTTCTTCTACTTTTGTATTCTTACTTGACTTCCTCTTTTTACTTGGAAATATTATGATCTTGTCTCACCTCAAGATAGCTGACAACAGGAAATACTCCTACATTGACATCCATCCAGCTTGTCTACTTTCCCTGGCAGTAGCTTTTCTCATAATCTGATGATCCCCTACACTTTCTATGTTGTACTCAGTGACAGTTGTCATTATTCCACAACTTGTATTTGACTCTTAAAGAGGACCCGGGTTCACTTGATTGGTCTATGCTGGGCTCTTTGACTGAGCTATCTACTGTTAGAACAAGCTTGTCGGTGTCTGAGATGTGTTGGGGAAGGAAAAGGTACACCTGAGGTAATAGCTTGACTTTCTTTAACTGTCTCTATGCAGCACCCGTTCTGTTGTGCTCAGCAAGTTGGTCGTGGTATCAGCTAAGTTAAACTTTGGATGGCATCAAAGGTTGATACTGATAGCAAACTCAGAATAAGGACTTTGCTATCTTAAAAATACTTTTTCATTTTTTTTTCTCCTCGAGAAATTATAAAAGTAAACAGAAACTATGGCTTATACTGGGGAGATATACTTTTTTTTATTTTAGAAACAATCTTATTTTACATATTGATCCCAGTTCTCTCTCCCTCCCATCCTCTCATGCCCCCCCCCACCCACTCACCAAGGATAGTGAGGCCTTCCACGGGGGATCGTCAAGTCTGTCACATCCTTTGGGGGAGGGCCTAGGCCCTCCTTGCTGTATCTGGGCTACAACAGTATCCCTCCATAGGGAATGGACTCCCAAAGTCCATTTGCTCTAGGCTTAAAGACTGGCTCCACTGTTAGAGGTCTCATAGACTGTCCTGGCCTCCTAGCTTGTGCCCACATTCAGAGGGCTTGGTTCAGTCCAATGCTGGTTACCCAGCTTTACGACTAGGGTCTCTGTGTCCTCACTAGGTCAGGTCAGCTGTTTCTGTGGGTTTCTCCAGCATGGTCTTAGCTCCTTTGCTCATCCCTCCTCCCTCTCTGAAACTGGATTCCAGGAGTATGGCTCAGTGTTTAGCTGTGGGTGTCTGCTTCTGCTTCGATCAGCTACTGGATGAAGGCTCTAGGAGAACAACCAAGGTAGTCATCAATCTCATTATAAGGGAAGGGCATCAAAGGCAGCCTCTCTACTACTGTCTAGATTAATTAGTTGGGGTCATTCCTGTGAATCCCTGAACATTTCCCTAGTGCCAGATCTCGCTCTAAACGTATACGGGCTCCTTCTATCAAGATATCTCCTTTCTTGTCCTCCTCTATTCCTCCCTTGTCTCAGTCTTCTTGATCCCTTTTGTTCTCCTCTCCCCCTCCTCTTCTCCCCTTCTCTTTTTCCTCCCTCCCTCCCCTCTCCCTGCCATGCTTCCAATTTATTCAGGGGTTCTTATCCCTTTCCCCTTCTTTGGGGGACCATGTGATTTTTCTCTTGGGGGTCCTCCTTGTTTCCTAGTTTCTCTGGTGATGTGGATTATAGGCTGGTAATCCTTTGCTCTATGTCTAAAATCCATATGTGAGTGAGTACATACCATGCTTGTCTTTCTGTGACTGGGTTACCTCACTCAGGATGTTTTCTTCTAGTTCCGTTCATTTGCCTGCGAATTTCAAGATTCCATTGTTTTTTGTTGTTGTTGTTTTGTTTTTCCACTGAGTAATACTCCGTTGTGTAAATGTACCACATTTTCTCCATCCATTCTTCGGTTGAGGGGCATCTAGGTTGCTTCCAGGTTCTGGCTGGTTGCTTCCAGGTTCTGGCTGTTACAAACAATGCTGCTGTGAACATAGTTGAAATACATCCTTGTTGTATGAATGTGCATTTTTTGTGTGTCTGCCTGAGAGTGGAATTGCTGGATCTTGAAGTAGACTGATTCCCATTTTCCTGAGAAACCGCCATACTGATTTCCAAAGTGGTCGTACAAGTTGGCAATCCCACCAGCAATGGAGGAGTGTTGAACAATACTCAACTTTATATGGAAAAACAATGCAATCCCCATCAAAATCCCAACACAATTCTTCACAGAGATATACTTTTTTTAAAAAATGTGTTTGTCTGTATGCGTGTAAGCACATCACAGGTGTGCCTGGTACTTGGGGCCAGATGAGGTTTCTGGACCCCTTGGAACACAAGGTACAGGTAGTTGTAGTCATGTGAGATAGACTCAGAACTCACGAGCTGAGAGGTGGTGGCGCATGCCTTTAATACCAGCACTCGGGAGGCAGAGGCAGGCGGATCTCTGTGAGTTCAAGACCAGCCTGGTCTACAAGAGCTAATTCCAAGACAGACTCCAAAGCTACACAGAGAAGCCCTGTCTTGGAAAACCAAAAAAATAAATAAATAAATAAATAAAACAAAACAAACATACCAAAACTCCTCACGATCTTCCATTGTTTGGTTTAGAAGTCCTTTAAAGTATGCAGAGGTAATCAGCCAGACCTTGCTTGCCTTTAAAACTGCCTCGGTGACTCAGGAGTGATTGCTAATTCCTCTTTGTCTTTTCAGTGCTGTATATAAGTACACAGAAGAGACGGATGTGAAGATACCAGGAGCAGCTCTTCAGAGTTGGATATATTTTATTACAAAGTGTTTTGGTTTTTGCTCTTTTACAATCTTAGTTGGCCTGTTTCCACAGTGGTTGGTGTGTTTTGTTGTTGTTTTTTTTTTTTTTTTTTGACATTGAAATAAGATAGCAATGTTACATTACAGATTGAATCTTAAACTTTTCATGTTTATGTTTACTTCTGTCTGTACAGAATGCTACAATTAAAATTCATTTCTCCTGGATTATTTTGCTAAGACTCCAGCAGTGTCCTTTCATTGAATGATTATGTATTCAGCTGAATGGCGCACCCTGAACCTGTGATCACAACATTCTAGAGGCTTCCTTTGTCTCTTCCTGTTCACCATCCATACCATGAAAGCAGGTAGATGATACCTTCTAGAAAGGCATACAGTCTCAGCCTCGGGCTATAAAGTGACAAAAGGTCAGAAGTTCAGCTGTTGATTAGCCACCTAGCTAGAAAATAGAATTAGGGATCCAGTGGTGGAACCTGCGCAGCAAACTGCAGATCTCTTGATTTGGAAATAATGGAGGTTGGCCACGCTTGGAATCCTCAAGGTGACCTGCCAGTCCTGTAGTTAGACATCTTGCACTGACATGCTCCCTTTCAGAACATGGGCTCCTACCTCCTGATGTTCCCGTGGAACTCTGGCTGTGCTTAATGTTGAGTGAAGCCCGAAGTGCATAAAGTCAGTCCGTTTCCAGTGCTGAGATGTGGCTCCGAAGGAGTTTCTCTGGCCTCTTGCTTAGCAAATGGCCTTGGGGAGGGGTTGTATTCTGGTGAAATGTTGCCTGGCATGTGCAGAGTCTTCAGGTCATGACTCCTGCTGATCAGGCTTGCCCTCCAGAGACTGCTTGCTTGCTTTGTTTGCGTGGACACTGAAAGACGTGGGTATTGTTGTGGCTTTCCTCATTCCTCCTTCAGTCTAACCAGAATCCCTGTTTTGGGAGGTGGGGTGTGTTTTTTAACAGTCGCCTGGTTGAAGGATCTGGGGGTACATTGGAAGCTAGGGAGGGAGTTTTTGAACTCGTTCTAGAGAGGTGTATATGACATTTGTCTCATTTAACCAGTAAGGAGAAACGATAACTCAGGAAAGAGGAGAAATGCTTTGTAAGGTTTGATGGTGTGCACACTGAAAATAAAACACTTTATCCTAAGCTTCAGTGATTGATCACTTCCTGACAGGGGCTTGAAAAGGGACCCGTGTGTAAGCACAAATCACCAATTCGCTCTTTATAAATGGTTGTCTCTCAGAGTGGAACACACATGTTCTCATTTGTTTTGTAGCATGTACAAGGCTGCCAGGTTACCGTGTGCCTTCATTCACTCCGGCAGCTGTCTCAAGTGTGTTAGCATCACTCCTGGCTTTGCTCATCTCTTCCCTGTCCTCTCTTCCAGTGTGGAAGTCTCTATTTCCCTCTTACCATTTCCAGCTTAATAGGTCTACTGTAGAGCTTTTAATCAAGAATGACTCTGGGAAGTGCCACCATTTTTATGGTAATAAAGGACCATTATGCACCTGGACCAGCACACTTTGTCCCCATGCATACCTTTATGTGATAGAACACTGAAACAGATTGTAAATGCTAAAATTACCTTTTCTTTTCTTAACTGTAGTTTCCTCATGGTCCGTGAATGGTTTTCATTTGGGTTATAGAAAAGACAATTGTTGCAGGGTGATTTTTTTTTTTTTTTTTTTTTTTGGCTTGAGTAAATGCATTTTCTCTATCCCAGTGCCCCCAACCCTAGTTGCTACCATCTTTCTCTTGGGCTGTGACAAAACAGAATGTTTAGGGGGAAACAGAACTTGTGCTTGGTTTCTAGACTATCTGACTTCACATTTTGTTTTGGTCTGTGAGCTATTCCTTGGCTAATCTTCCACGCTGAATTGAGTCTTACTTCAAACGTGTTTATCCCAAAACAGAGCTGTTGACAAGTACAAATACAGATGGTGGACATGTGGTCTGATTTTCATGTTCTCCCTCAGCATTCAGAGATGGTTCACATCCTGAGCTTCTTGTTCAAGGCAATATGTAATGCATGCTGGGAGTTCCTAATTATGTGACAAATAGAACAAAGGCTTAAGGGGTTTTCTTAAGGTCTGGAAACAGCATGGTCGACTTGTGTGCGAGGCTTATCGCCCCGGAGGGTATAGTCTACTTCATTAGAAACAAGCCCTGTGGGAAAATTGTCTTTGAGAATCACAGTGGCTCTTGGGGGGACAGTATTCCAGACCAAGCAGCCAGTCCGTAGGATTCTCTCACTGCCGAGACAGTCTCCACATACCTTGGAGTTCTCCTGACCAGTCTACACTAGTTACTGGGGTTGGCTTGTTTTTCCTGCCCCAAAACCAACCATTGTGAAAGGAAGGTGAAATACAGTTTTTCTTTCCCCTGATCTCCAAGAGGGCCCTGCTCAGAGGCAGCCATCCCATTCTAGTAGGTGGCTCCTGATGACCAGTGAATGAGGCTTCTGAGTATAAGGTTAGCTGTGCTCCGTTCTGAAAATCCAGCACTGGTTTTCATCTCAGGAGCTGCTGTTGTCTGTTCTACCGTGTGTGGCAGAGCACCCATGAGTATTTCCATTGAGCAACCAGCTGGTACTGCTGAAGCCCACTTGCCTAAGAAGGGGCAGGATGGACAGTATGCCTCCCCCATGTACTGAGACAGGAGATAGCCCCAAGTGGTGCTTGCTATGTTCCTCTCTGCCTGCTTCTTGAAAAGTTTGGGGAGGTCTCTTGTCTTGGAAGTTGATTTTCTCAAGTGTCCTGTCATTGTGACAGAAAGCTGACTTATACATCGTGTCATGTGGCCCCTGCTTTACCGAGCTCCCCGCCCCCTTACCATAATACCGCCGCCTATACCAAGTGAGAACTCTGCTCTTACAGCCCTGACCACATATGTTTCCAGATGTACAGTCATCTTCAGCCAGGCCATGTTGTGTTCCATGTTAAGTACATCTTATATTGTGTGTTTCAGTTAAAGTTTCTCTTTTGTTCTCATTGTTTTTTCAGTTTAGCACAAGATGTAGGAAACATTTAAAATTGAAAATCTTTCATTGAAACTGATCACTTTCTTTAAAAAGATTTATTTATTATGTATATAGTCTGCATGTATGCCTGCAGGCCAGAAGGGGGTGCCAGATGTCATTACAGATGGTTGTGTGCCACCATGTGGTTGCTGGGAATTGAACTCAGGACCTTGGGAAGAATAGCCAGTGCTCTTAACCTCTGAGCCATCTCTCCAGCCCCTGAAACTGATCACTTTGTAAACTGATGAAAATTCCTGGATGTCAAGAGGTGTAAACAGCCCTGATCCAATGCTCTACTAACTTTTGTGTGAGGAGAAAGGATGAAACATGTATTTTAAAAATTAAAGGCTGAGGTGGTATCTCATTTGGCTGGGTGCTTATTTTGTATTCATGGGTTGCTGGGTTTGATCCCAAGGGCTGGAGAGATGGCTTAGAGGTTAAGAGCACTGGCTGTTCTTCCAAAGGTCCTGAGTTCATTTCCCACAACACAACACACAACACACACACACACAGAGGAGACAGACTCCTCCCCCAAATGAAACTAACCTTTCCTAAGCGAATATGCTGTCTCTTCTGGGAAGTGGAATTAGTGTAGCCAGAGGAAATGAGTTAAAATGATCATGTCAGAAGTATGTGCTGTCCTGATTAAAAACTGGTACAGACTTAAGTAAGATTCCTTCTGTTACTGCCAGCCTTTTTAGGGAAACCTGGACTCTTCCTCCTTTCCCCTCCATTGTATAGGAGAGCCAGCTTTTACACTGGTCCTCATTCCTCTCCTCCCACACACCCTATTTGCCTCTTGTGAATTACATTTCAATTTGTTACTTCAGCACTAGGAATTGAACATGCCAGACAAGCACTACTACCAAGTATACCCCCAGGCCTTTTTTTTTTTTTCTTGTATTTTTTAGCAAGATAGCCATTCCTCAAGTATCCTCTAAGGATAAGGGCATGTGTGTGGCTTTCACACTCTGTAGAGTGTTATCCAGTGGGTACCAGGTGGGAGAGCTGGGTGCTTTAAGGAATTTGAATGGAATATTTCCCATCAGGCATGTATATTTGAGAGTTTACATCTAGCGTTGAGTTTGCACTGCTGAGATATTAGAAGACACACCAAGGATGGTGACTACTGGACTCACCAAGGGTAGCCATTGGTAGACTCAACAAGGGTGGCATGCTCATCAGTGAGTGAGTGGCTACAAGGCACAGAGTGTCCTCCATGGGCTCATGTGGCAGCACTTGGTCCTTAGTGCTTTGAAAATGTTGTCTGGAGGTAGGCTTTGGAGGTAATTAATAACCCAGTCTGCTTCCTGGGTGGCTGTGTAAGCAGCAACCACAGCTTGGACTATGCTGGTGAAGACCAGCTTCTAGGCCCTCCCACCATGAACCACACTTTGAGACTGAGTTCAGAGGAACCCTTCTCTAAGGTGTTTTATCACAGCGATCAAAAAAATCACAATATAGCAATTATTAAGAGAGTAGCTGTCATCATGGCATGCTGACCAGAATAAACTAAATGTGACATATAGCCAGAGCCAGGCACATAGCACAGCTCTTACAGAAATGGGCATCAGAAAGCTCAAAAGCAAACCTGAGAAGAGAAAACCTTTGGAGAGGTTTGGTTTTCTTGTTTTGTTTTTAATAGCTACACATGTTCAATTTGGTTAATTTGCACAAGAGCCCAAGAAACACCTCTTATTCTACAAGTGAAACAGTGAGCACTGAGAGCAATGCTCCATGTCATCTCAGGTAGTCAGGAACAGGGCAGAAGGTCACACCCAGCAGTCTGCTCTCAGGGACAGAAAGTCATCTGAATAATTCAAGAGGGCCAACCCCAATTTGTGCTGAGGCTTTTGGAACCTGGACAGCAGGCACATTTATGAATGAGACTAGAGTCATATTTTATTTCTTCAAAACATTCCTCAGTGAGAAACAATCCAGCTAACTGCAGAAGACATTCCAACTAGCTGAAGAAGACTTCTCTAGGTTAACTGCTGTCTGGTGGCACTGATTCGATGCTTTAATGCACAAAACCTAAGTGTGACACAGAATTTGGTAATCTCTGGGGGAATGAGGAAGGTGAGATCTGGGCAGCCTTTGTAGTTAGGAAAGGAAGTAAGTCAGTCACAAACTTGAGGTTAAAACCTTGAAATAGGAATGGGGGGGAGTTGTCTGGTGGTGATGGTTTTGTTTTTAAGGTAGCAGTG